AAACAACTTTTTAGTGGCTCAAATGCAACAATTGGACATTTTACCCAAGTTTTGTGTAGAAAACTGTTTGCTGTGTCAACCTCATAACCCAAATAATTGAAATATGCACATGCCGCTTATTTCAATTCAATTCAGTTTATTTACCGGTATATAGCGCTAAGTCACAACAGAAGTCCAGAAACATTCATAAATATAAAGTATAATTTAACACTATTTATCTGAGGAGCAGACTGCTTTGAATATAACTCCATCACAGAACTCTCATCTTAAGCAATCATGAAGGCGACAGTGGAAAGGAAAAACACCCTCATGAGGAAGAAACCTTTAGTACATATATGTTGAACTCAAGGCCCAGGGGCCAAATGTGGCCCTTGTTGGCATCTTATCTGGCCCCCAAGATGTTATTTTAAATATTTAAAATATAAAATACTTTTATCACTTTAATTTTTTTCAGTAACTGGACAATGTGTCAGACAGAAACTGGAAGTTGATTCCAAAAGAGAGGAGCCTGCTTTTGGAAACTCTAGAAACCATAAGTAAGCCTGCAGTTTAAGAGCAAAGTGATCTGTTAAGAAAATATGAAACAAAAAGATATTGAATATAAGATGGAGCTAGGTTGTTGAGAACTTTGTAGGTTAGAAGTAAGATTTTGAATTCAATTCTGGACTTGACTCTGTCTGCATGTTGTTGATGTTTTATTTGATTTCTTCTTTTTTTTTTGCACAAAAACACATATGACAATTTAAACATTCACATTTTTCTAAAATAACTAAACATCCTTTGGTAACAGGTAAATATATTGGATGGATGGATGAACATTTTTTTGGTCGGTGATAATAAAAAACATTCCTGTAACAATAGCAGCGTTCAACCAAAAACGACACCAGCGACAGAGATAACTGGAAGGCTGCTTTATTGTTTGGAAATAGATTCGTGCTCAAATGAAGACATTCTTTCACTGATTCTCACTTAAGTGTCCCATGTGGTTTGCAACACATGTCCTCGGTCTGACTGTATTAGTGGCAAGAAATGACAGTCAAATGTTGGTTTTCTTTTTAGCTAACCCATTTTCAAAGAGAATTCATCTCAGTCATGCTACAAAAACAATGGCCTCATAAACCAACTGATAAACCAACACTTGGAAATTAACAAAAGTGGAAAATAAATAAATAAAACCAACCCACAGGTCAGTAAACAGAATCCACAGAGAGCACTTCCTACAAGACTCTACATGTTAGTCCACACATTTTGAACTTAAAGGGGGTGAGTTTTCAGTTTACTTAGAACCCAAGTTAATAATAATACTAAACAAAATCATCATGCTCCATTTTGATTCACTCCATGGGTGTTGAGATCTTCATTGCAGATTTTAGTGATTGGCTAAATAGAAAGCTAAAAAGGCACGTGCCATTAAGAAATATTGCACCATAAACAAACACGCAGACATTTGAGACAACTAACCCTTAAACTGTTATATACTAAAGGTGATGCAAAATGAAACTCAAAGCTGCACCAGTGTGTTAGGATGGGAGGCATGGAGGGTTAGGATTGCATCAAGCAATACTTTGTCTTGCAAAGTGATGTGTGGATCATAGTGTATGGCCGCATAAAAAGCAATGAACGATTTTGATCGTGTGTGTAATTGCATCTGAATGTCTTTGTGATGAAGAAATGAGGGGCAAGACATCTTCACACAGGAGAAAAGGGTGTGCTGGTAGTGCAATCTTCTCACCAAGGCAGGCTCCTCAATTCTCAGCAAGCAGCCGGTACAACATCATGCATTGTAAGCCTCAAACTCAGAGGTCGTGGGCAGGCCAGAGTTCTGGTTCTCCTCCTCTGGACGTACCACACAATGAAATATGCATAATCAGTTACATTTTGTGAATCTGGTGTCACCTCAATAAGAACAAACAGGATATATATATATATATATATATATATATATATATATATATGTATATCTGATATATACATGTATATATATATGTATATATATATATATA